TTATTTCTCCTAGTTCTGGAGGCTGGAAGTCCAAGATCATGGCACTGGCCAGCTTCCTGTTTCACAGACAGCCATCTTCTCACTGTTCCCTCACATGACAGAAGGGGTGAGGAGTCTCTGGGGTCCCTTCTATCTAAAAGGGCACCAATCCCCTTCATGGGAGCTCCGTCCCCATAACCTAGTCACTTTCCAAAGGCCCCACCTCCTGACACTATCACACTGGGTGTCAGGGTTTCAACACACGGATTTGGGGGACACAAACATTCAGCCCATTGCAAGTTCCCGGCTTCCAGTGGCCGGCGAGGTGCGCGGCGTCTACACTGAAAGATAAGGAGGGAGCGAGGGAGCGGAGGGAATGGCTTGTGCGGAAAGAGCAGCGGAGATTTGAAAACTAAACCAATGCTTAAAACATGAAACTAAACATTGGGCACAGGGCACCCCCCCGGAGGTGGACAGTGCCAGGGACCTGTCCATTCTGCTCTGTTGCTGCCACCCCCATGCTCGGAGTGCCCGCGTGGAAGCCCTGAGCACAGAGCTCCAGGTTTAGAGCCCTCCTCACAGGCTGAACAGGACTCAGGCCATCTTTGCTCAAGGCCAACAGCCAGTGTCCCCACACTGGGCCTCAGGGGGAGGTCATGGGATAAGGAGGCGAGGCTCAGGCCTGGTGAGTGTCTGTTCACATCAGGCAGATGCTGGCGATTTGTGCAGCCGCGTGGCCCAGGGGAGCACAGATCTCAGCATGGAAGCTGGCGCGGCCCTGGCCCTGTGACTAATGCCACAGATAGCAGCTTCAACTGCAGACAGGACTTCTCTCACAACCCCATAGGCTGGAAGGCCATGATCAGGGCGGTGGCAGGGTAGGTTCCCACTGAGACTGAGAGAGAGACACTATTCCAGGCCTCCTCCTGCTGCCAGGGCTTGTTTAGCTTGTCTTGGCTTACAGAAGCCTCACCCCTGTCTCCGCCTTCATCTTCACGTGGCATCCTCCCCCCGTGCACGTCTGTGTCCAAACTTCCCCTTTTGAGGAGGACCCCAGTCAGCTGGGTTAGGGCCCACCCAAATGGCCTTGACTGTCTGCAAAGACCCTCTTTCCAAATAAGGTGACACTTTGAGGCACTGGGAGTTAGGACTCCAACATGTGAGTTTGGGAGGGACACAGTTTAGAACAAGAGTGTCCGGGGACATGGAGAGCGCACATGCGCTGGCAGAGCAGAGGGCAGCTGGGGGGGTGTTAGGCAGGGGGGAAGATTGGGGCCAGGACGGGGTCTCTGTGCTCAGCTGAGGCAGGTGTGGGCTCCACCAGTACACAGGCACCCTAACCCAAGCCTGGCACTTTCGGCTCTCCTTGCCCAGGGTCAGAGCCAGGCACAGGCTGTCAGCGCAGCCAAATTCTTCACCAGGGGCTCCCTGTCCTGAAGTCCATCTGACGGGGGTCCCCGCAGCATGCTCTTGTGGTCTGTGCCCCGGCAGCAAAACCCAAGCCACACAAACATGCACTGCAGGCACCGTTGGTCTTCAGTAACTTGCAGGGCCTCCACAAGCCCCATCGCTTTGGGAAAGTCGATGTTTTTAATGCTTTGACAGTGTTTGCAGTGTAATTACAAATGCGTGTCACCGCCATACTTGATGCTAGAACTCGCTTTTCATTGGTGGAAACACTGAGGTTTCTTTATTGAATGTGAGATTTAGGAGCTACTTTTACTGGCTTTCGCCAGCATAAACAAGGAGTTCACCCTAAGGGACTCTCCAGACCTCACATCCATGTCCACCCACTGGGTGTGTACCTGTAGCTCAGGGTAACTTGCAGAGTGGTGACAGAGTGGCCACAGGCCTCTGCCCATGCAATATGCCACCTCCTCACGGTCAGAGAGGCCACAGCAGGCCCCTCGCAGACCCTCCTCTCCCTCTGCAGGGGAAAGACCTCAGGCATAAGGTCAATGTTCTGTGTGATCCGAGCTCTGGCACAGGAGACTGAACCCTGGAAGCTCAGACGGTCACTGCAGTTTACCAAGCAAATCAAAATTAATTTCACGAATGGCCCTGGACTGATTTTGAGACCATCAATGTGCAGAGTTCAATCTGTCCCTTTCCAAAATTCTAAAAGCAGATGGCATCGAAGGCAGCGATCATCATTTTGTGTTTCCATGGTGGCTGGCAGGAGTCACAAATCCAATGGCTCCTCTGGCTGGGAAGGTGCCATCAGGGCCGGGGGAGGCTGCCATGTGGGAGTGGGAGGCCCAGGTCCCGGGATGTCAGGTTTTTTCAATGAAAACTGAAATTCTGGACTTTTATGTAAAGGTCTCATACTCTTTGGTGACAGCTAAGTTAAAGTTGATTCTGTACCACGTGGCAGCAGAATTTGGCCCTTGGCAATCTCAGGTTTACGCAGATGGGGACTGAGGGGGGAACATTCTGGGATGTGTGTGGATGGTCTGAGACATCAGTTTTCAGAGAAAGCCAGGTGGCATTTCTGGGGCTGGGCGGAGCATCATTTCCTCCCTGCTGTTCACTGCAGTCTGCTGGGGGGGGGGGCGGCTCTCTTAGGAGGGCATGGGATGGAAAGCTGCCTGCAGGGCTGGCATGAAGGCAGCGCTGCTAACCAGGAGCTTAGATGGAAAAGCAGCTGCTGCAGAAAGGATGGACTGGAGCACCTCAGGTAGGAGATGCTAAAGGAGAGCACACCCCCAGAAATGAAGAAAACACCCCCAGGAGGCTGGTCAGCATGAACACGGCAGTACTCACTTTTTCACTGGAGTCCCCTCAGCACCTGCACTGGGGACCTGGCATCGCAGAGCAGGGCAGTGTCCTTGAGAGGGACTGACCCTCTGGGGCCTGGGGGACAGGCACCTGGAAGCCCTTTGCTGCCATGTCGTCTTGTCAAAGCCTCTGCGCTGGCCTCATGGCGTCTGAGCCCAGGCAGCCTGCCCCCCATCTGTTTTGTGCCCTGGGGATGCCATCGTAGTTCCTGTTCTCACCACCTCCACCACACCATTGTCCCTAGCACTGATTCTGTCCCCAACCCAGAGTGATCCATCATCCTAAACCCGACTCCTCATCCTCTCCTACCCCGGCTACCACCAGGCCATCGCACTGTCCTCTGCTCATGCCTGCCCATTCTGCCTCGGGAACTGGCCCAAAGCACACCTCCCCGGTGAGCCAGGCCCCACAGCTGCTGCTCCTGCTCCCCTCTGTCTTCTCAGGCAGCACTCAGCACGCCCGAGGTTATATTTGTTCACCTCCTGTTTGTCAGGACTCCCCAGGGCAGGGACAGCTTGGCATTAGTGGGTGCTGAGAACAAAAATACTGGTTGGATGAGTGAGTGAATGAGCGAGCCGCTGCTCTGCTGTGCCGGTTGGAGGGGCAGCGAGAACACGGCCTGATATTAAGGGCGGCCAGGGTCCAGCGAGCTGGGGTCTGGCTGAGTTGGCCCGTTTTCTGCCCTCAAAAAACTCTCATTGCTCTCTTCCTCCATCGGGTTCCTTTACTTCCCAAATTCATCTGGTTTCCCAATTATAGTCCGAGACAATCAGTGAAAGGGAGAGCCCCCCAGGAGTCCCTTTGCAGTGACCGCCACTGCCACCCTGAACTGGGTGGGCTTGGTCCTGCCAGAGACGACATTTTCAGGGCCGTGTAAGGGGACCAAGGGTGTTTATAGAACCAGACTGTCTGCAGTTAACAGGGACAGGCTGTCCCACAGCAGTGGGGGCTGCCCCACCCCAGGCTCCTCAGAGCTCTGCAGCCATCTCGGTGGTGACCAGACCAGCACACCCTGTGCCCAGCCTCAGCACGGGGAGCCAGGCTTGGCTGCACAGGCATTAGATGGCAAAAGTTCACTAAGCAGCACACTGGTGCTTTGTTAACTTTTCTGTTCAAAGTTTTTAAACAACCCACCGCAGAAATGATGGCTTGGGAACACCAAGGGGCATGGTCTCAAGGCTCCGTATCTGTTTACGGTCGAGGTGGTTTTGTTAAAGATGGTGCGGGTAGTCACAGGGAACTTCCCCGTCCCATCAAGCGCATTCTTCCTGCGACCAGCTAGAGGCAGCATGTGCTGGGCACAGGTGCCCTCGGGCTGGCGCTCACACTCAGAAGCTACAGGGATGAAGGTGCCAGAGCCCACCTGTCAAGCTTGGGCACTTTCATAGCAAAGTTTAAGAACTACCCCCAGGTTGGGCACGTCATATCTAGGGCCAAACACCTGCCCAGTCCCCCACCCTCCAGGGACTGGTGTGGGGCAGGCAGCAGAGAATGGTCTGCTGCCAAGCTTTGCTTGGGGAGTAAGAAGAGCACGTGGCAGAGGGTCAGCCCCGCCCCGGCCTGTGGGATGCCACCTCGAGTCTGTTTCTGTGCCACGCATGTTTGCCGCAGGGGAGGTAACAGACTCTGAAAGGGGCCACGAGCCGCCAGCAGAGGCCGTCGTGTGGCAGCTGTCCAGGCACCTTGTCAGGCCAGGCTTTCGTGCCTTCTCAGGTCTCCGGTGGGAGAGGAGGGAGCAAGCACAGGGGGGGAAATGGGCCATGTCAGTGTAACATGTGTTCCCAAAATACGGGAGAAGCGATTCAGTGCCGTGATTCCTCTTCACTGTGAGTGGAAAGCTGGAGTCCCGCAGCCTGACCCTGGGAACCTCTCACCTCTTGGCAGGTAGTTGGGGCCGTGAAAATCACTCTAGGCTGGCATAAGTGAGCACCTAGGAGTGCTCAGATTAAATAAGGGCTGGTCCGTGCACTCTAGCAGCTGCAGGGCTCTCAGTGGAGGCCACCGTGGGTCAGAGGAAGGGCCAGGCTCAAGGAAGCTCTGCCTCCCTTGGCCTCCTCAGCCACAGTGGCATTTGTTCTGCTTCCTTAAAAGCACTGTTGCTTCCAAAAAGACTGGTCTCATGACACTTCCCTGCGTTTGCCCTCTTTTTAGGAGACCACACTTCTGTCTGCCTTGGGTGGGTGCCGTGTTGCCTTTCTCTCCCGTTGGCCCTCACTGACGCCGCCCTCCCCGTCTTCCCACAGGTTAACAATGAGAATGTCGTCAAAGTTGGCCACAGGCAGGTGGTGAACATGATCCGCCAGGGAGGAAATCACCTTGTCCTTAAAGTGGTCACGGTGACCAGGAATCTGGACCCGGACGACACTGCCAGGAAGAAAGGTACGCACCTGGCCGAGGTGGGAAGGGCAGCTGTGGGGCAGTGGGCCTTCTCTCTAGCTGAGCCTACTCACCTCAGAGCCCGAGCATAGGGCCAGGGCTGGAATTTGCCACCAGGGCTCACAGGCTGCCAGAAGCATCTGTGCCCCCTCTGTCACCAGCAGGCACATGCAAACAGCCGGACAGTGTCCCTTCTGTTGTGCTTCCCACTCATTGTCCCTTCCCCACCCTCCTCTGGCCAGACGGCAGGCCCTCCTAAGTGCCCACCCTTCTCCATCCTGGGCACCTGCACAGTCCCTGATCACCTCAGCCCAAATTGAGCCTGCAGGAACACCTGTCATGTGACATGCCCACAGAGAGGTGTCTGCCTGGCCTCCCCACAGAAAACTGCAGGTTCCAGGGCCAGGGTGGGCTTGAGACAAAGGTGGGAAGGGGGTGTGCTGCAGCCAGGCTCTCACGCCTGTCTCCATCTGCCATCAAGCTCCCCCGCCTCCAAAGCGAGCGCCGACCACAGCCCTCACCCTGCGCTCCAAGTCCATGACCTCGGAGCTGGAGGAGCTCGGTAAGAGTCGCCCGTCCAGCCCTCCCCAGACCCACGCTGTGGCCAGTGCCCCTCCCTGCACGTGCTCCTGTGCCTGCTTGCCCTAGCAATGGTGTCAGCGCATGCCCTACTGCCCTGTGTTTGGCCTCTCCATCGGGAGCCTTGTGGGGTGGTGGTCTGCCTTTCCTCTTTTCTGTTTATCTAACATTGTTTTGTTTTGCATTTTTGGGCCTCTCACTAGTGGATAAAGGTAAGCAGCTCCCCCTGACACCCCAACTGACACCAGCCTCAGGGGCTATGCAAGCTCCCCCTGTGGCCACTTGGGCCTCAGACCAGAAGGCCCCAGCCCCAGAGACCTGGCAGATCTATCTGCCCACCAGGCTTAGGAAGCTCCCAGCACCTTCTTAAAAGGTCTGCAAGGAACAGAGAGGGGCTCTGGCTCTCAGTCATGGTAGCCCAGGCTACAAGATGGGGCCTATTAGCCGCCTGGGCCGTATTGGCTGTTAAAAAGAGGGATGACTTTGGGGTTGGCTGCATGAGCCTCCCAGACAATGTTAAATGCCTTGTCAGGGAGTTGCCATGGAGCCCAGGAACATCCTCTGGGAAGAGGATGTTTATGAAGCAGAGCTGGTGGGGGTGGAGATGCCCACCCCACTGAAAGCAGCCCACATGGGCACAGAACCAACCCCAAGCTCGGCGGGTTGGTGGGCTTCCTTCCTCTTCTGGACAAGGGGCAACCCTTCCGAGGGGTCTAGTGCACACTGTGGGCGATCAGGTGGACATGCTTCCCTGGCCCAGGGCAAGGAAGCTGGCTGGGTCACCTCTCCCAGCTTCAGGGGCTAGAATCTGAGGATCAGCACAAGGCCTTGGTCTTCTAGAAAAGAGAAGCCCTGCTATGGTGCCCCCCAAGCTCTTTCTGGCCCCTGCCTTGACCTCATCTTGTTTAAACATGACCTGCAAGGAAGACCCCAGTTTCCACATGCCCCAAACCTTATGGGCAACAGAAGTGTGGATTGCCACCTGCTCTTCTCTAAAGTGAGATGGCATGTGTCAGGCTCACTCTTCCCAGAGGCCCGGCATGAGGCTCTTGTTTATAAGTGGGCCTCCAGCTCAGCCATGCAGGGTTATCCTGAGCCCCACTGCTCTAGTGGAAACCATGTCCCACTTCGGCGTGAGAGTCCCCCTCTCCTCCGCCAGGCAGGCTTACAGCAGGGTACAGGGGAAGGAGCCACCGGGGCCAGGCTGCTGGAGACAGTGCAGCCCCGCCCCCATGCCAGCCCCCGTGTGGGTGTGGGGGTGCCATCCACTGGCTCACAGCGCTCCTTTCTGTTTTCAAGCCTCGGTGCGGAGGAAGAAGGGTAAGGGAGGAGCAAATGTCCGTCTAGTCCCCTGCCCGTCACACCTGTGGATCAGAAACCCCCTGTGTGACTGCCACGTGGAGTCTGTAGTGTGCCGCCAGCCCTGTGTTGTCGCCTCCATTTCCCCAGCCCCGGAACACATCCTGTTTCCGTCTGCTTTGTTCCTGTTTGTGATTCCTCCCTACGTGTCCTGTTTCTTCCCTGAGCTGTGTCTACATCATCACAACCACGAAACCCGCAGGGACCCTGTTCAGGCACAGCTGGGCCTGCCTCAGGCAGGTGGCCTCTACGCTCTGAGGCCTTGTGGGGGATGGAGCCACAGGGGAATCCCTGGCCAGGGGTGCAAGCCAATGGAGCCCCTACATACAGAGGCTGCCTCCCTTTAGCACCCAGAAAGCCCCTACTCTCCAATAGGCCATCCCACAGCAAGAGTGCCTGGCGCTGGGGAGGGAAGGGAGCTATGTGGGCCCTTTGGCCACACCTCTCCAGCTGCCCCTCCAGGGCTGGGAGGACTAGCAGTGCTGACAGCAGGCCCCAGAAGGAATCAGATGCCCCCTTCCAAGTAGCCACTCACATGTGGGGCTGCTAGAGACAGATACCCCAACATTAAAGAAGCACTCTCAATCAAGACTGCTTTGCCCAAGGAGTGGGAGGGGGCCTTAGACACATCTGCACTCTATCCCAAACGCTCACATGGGCGATGGGTATGGGAATTCCCAGCTGGCTTGCTAGGCTCCATCACTGCATGGAGGATGGGGTAGATGCCAGGGTAGAGAATCCCCTTCTCTCTAAAAGTCATGGGATTACATTTCTATATGAACTCCCCTTCAATCCAAGGCCAAACCCCAGCTCACCAGAACAGCCTCTCTGTGTCTTCAGGAAGGTCTCATGAACAGAGATGGCTGAAAAGAGTCTATCGTCAGGGAGAACAGCTCAGGACTCAAGGCTGGCCGAGCTTCCGTGGGCAACAGGGGCCTGCTTGAACCCCGGCCCCATCCACTCCACCCTCCCCAGCCAGCAGCACCTCTGGTAGATCAGAAAACAGATGCCAAGGTCTGCACGGCCAGGTAGAATCCACCAGAGGACAGGCAAGAGGCCCAGAGAGTGGATATCCACATTCCATTTGAACAGCAGAGAAAACTTTGTGATGAAATGCCCCTGGCCCCCACCCTCACGCACACAGCCAGGCGCTGAGCCTCAGCGCCTCATCCGCACAGGGGAGTGCTTCTGGTCCCCACTCCCAGTCACATGGGATCACACCTGGAAAGTGTGTGGCACACAGCTGTGCAGTGCATGCTCCAGCTCAGCCTCTTGAGTGGTTCCATCATATTCCAGAAGGGCTGCCGTGGGAAAGGTCAGGCCACTATGGTTGTGCCAGGTTGAAAAGTGTCCTCCGAAAACTCATCTCCACCTAGAATCTGTGAATGAAATCTTATTTGGAAATAGGTCTTTGCAGAGGTAACCAAGATGAGGTCACACTGGGTTAGGGGCCTCCCTAAAAGGAGGAAGGACCGAGCCAAGGAACACCAAGGATTACTAGCCACCACTAGGAGCTGCAGAGGCAAGGACACTAGATCCTTCAGAGAGCTTGTGGCCCTGCCCATACCTTGACCTTGGACTTCCAGCCTCTAGAATGTGAAAGGACAAATTTCTGTTGTTTTAAGTCACCCAGTTTGTCATCATTGGTTTTGGCAGCCCTAGGAAATTAATATAATAGTGAAACAGCTCAAATCCCAGCTCTACCCCTGCCCTAAGCGACACCCTGATTAGTGATCCCGAGTTTTCATTTTTCTGTCTTAAAAACCCCTTGAAGACTAAAGTATTTACTGAGCTCCTGCTGAGCCCCCAGATACCATGCTGGGCTCAGGCCCCAGGTGAGTGACCCTCATATGCTGACTTATTGATTGCACCCTACCCTAGGACAGCTGTGGGGGCACAGGCAGAAGCCACCTGGAGGCAGAGGTGGGCAGACCTCTGGCCCTGGGCACATGGGTGACTATGGCCTCCTCTGCCTGCACCCAGACCTCATCCCTTGCAGGCCAGGACCAGTCCACCAGCATTCAGACATATCCTTCCCACTCCTTCACTGCCTCTTTGGAGATTAAGCCAACAGGCTGGCCAGCTGGCGACAGCCGCTGCTTCTAACACGTGTGGCTTCTGTCCTCTAATATCTGGTGCTGTGTATGTTCTTGTTTGCCTTTTGGAAATGGTGTTGCAGAGGAAATCCTGCATTTCACTCTCACCTGAGACAGGGCATGGTGGTGCTGCACCTCCAGAGGTGAGCAAAACCACAGGTTCAAGTTCACACCAGGGGAGGGAGCAGCAGCAGCACTAACAGGTCCCTGTGCATCTCTGCTCATCTGAAGTGTTTCACAGATCTGATTGCCAGAAAGCTGAAGGGCTTGAGTGGCTCAGTTCTGGTCTCAGTGGATATTTCTGGGGGGTCTGGTCTGGACTGCTCCCCCCAGGATGGTTCTGAGTGGCTGGGGAAACAGCTGAGCACCTGGGCTCACCCTGCATGTGGCCACATGTGAAGGAACTCACAGGATATTGGGCCTAGAGTTGCTTCAGTGGGACCCTGTTTTCTACCTAGGGACCAGGAGACTAGTCCTGGTCCACCTTACCTCAGCATGGCCGCTGGGGGGTGGTTTCGTTGCACAGTTTGTTGACTCCTTGTGATTTGCTGAGTGCGTGAAGGGTGGTGGCAGGATTTCTCCAGTGTGAGGGTGAAGGGCGTGCTGCTTTCTCGGGGAGGCAGGGGGTCTCTTGTTGAAGTCAGTTCACAGGCTGGGTGACTGGTGACAGGCAGGTGACAAAGCTACCAGCTCCCCTCCCAAAGTACACTCTTCCCTCTGTCCAGAAGTTGGCAATTTATGGCATCACATCTGTCGTCTTAAGAGAATGTAAGTTTGCTTAGAGAATCAAAAAGCAGGGTTACTGCTGGAGCATTTCCATCAGCTCATTACTAGATTAAGATTTGACAGATGTCTAAGGATTGTTTTCAGTCACCAAGTACTTCATTTTAAGACTGCAGGGGGCTGGATTCCCTAATCCCCTTCATCCTGAGTACCTGAATAGAGATCCAGTTCCTGGCTGTTATAAATCAAGCAGAATCCTTAGATGCCTAGAATGAGAAGCACGAGCCGCAGTCTTACGGCTTCTCTTAAAAGCCTTCATGTTCCAGTGCAGATGTCGTCAAAGACGGGGCTGAGCTGAGTCAGGCCACCAGGTTCCCACTGGCCAGTGCATCCAAGAGACAAGGGCCAGGAGGGGACCCACACAGGAATTTCCCTCTTCTCATGTGAATTGCACAAACACCACAAATTCTAACTTAAAAAGGAACTGTGGCCCCAACCCTACCATCCCAACAAACCAAGTTGCTCTCACATGGTCTGGTTCAAAAGAACATTTGTGCTGAGGGTAGAGGCAGGAGGGGGAAGGTTTAAAACAGAGACAAGGACATCCATGATCAAGGTGGCCACTGCTGCAGGGGAAGTACCTTCAACACCATGGCCAGGCCCACCCCTGTGATAGGGTGACTCTGATGTGAACAGCATTCCCTCCCCTTCGCTGTTCAGTCAGCCAAACAAGGCAGATCATTCTGACAGTGACCCTAGAAATTTGCAAATAAGTGTTCTGCTACTGTTGCCCACCAGGGCTGGGCACCCCTATCTGCATGACAGGAACAAGGGTTGGGTGACCTCAATGCTAGCTACAGCTCCTACCTGGTCCCACAGTTTCCCGACTTTAAGCATGAGACCCTCGATTTTTTTCTCTGCAAAATGGGAAGAATCCCTCCCCTACAGCCAGGTTCTCAACAGTCTCACCAAGGTAAGGCACTGTTAGTGACCACACTGCCTCTGCCTCACCCAGGGCATGCCCTGAGATCCTAAGATCACAGCCTGCTGTGGCTAGAAGTGAACCAGCCCATCAGCTTTGGGGTTTGTTAATATAAAAGAAACAGACTCATGGCTTCTGAAAGGGCCCACCTAGAAACAGGAGCTGCTGGAAGATTTGGCTGGTTTAAACCTTAATCACAGGAGAGCTGTTCCACCCGAGAGTCCCTCACCCTGATGTGTCTAGCCCATGCCCAGGGCCTTCCCTGCAGGGCGTGGCCTTCTGCCTTACGGGTCTGACACTTCCAGCAGTGTTCAAAGCTGACAACCTTCCCTTGCCCCGCGCCCCAGCTGCCACCTTTACCCTCTGAGCTTAAAATAGAGGTTAGCCCAGGAGGGATGTCCCAGTGTTCCTGGCTCTGATGACCTCCCCCACATTTCGACGGAATCTAGCTATCACATGAGCGAGAGGACAGCCCTGGTTTACCTGCATGGCCAGGAGCGCTCCCTTCAGTCAGCAGCTGTGCGCAGTACCGGACAGCACCATTCTGCAGCTGCCCACAGAACTTGCCATCTGAAATGGCCCCATGAGATGTCTTGTTGGGCTGCAGCTGTTCTTCCCGTAACTTGACACATGCCCTCCGCTGGGGTCAGAAGAGGGGCCCAGGCCAACTATGGGGAGGAGCTGGCAGTTCCCAGAGTAGCTCACTGCAGTTGTGGGCTGTAGCTCCCTAGGGCTGGTGGGAGATCTCACCCTCCCTTTGCTGGGGGCCACCAGCAGCCACACTTTAGCCAACAGCCACTGCCAAGGGGCCCAGCTTCTAGGGACAGACCAAGCTGGTCAGTCAGCTCGCCAAAGCAGGTCACGCAAACATCACCTGAGCGAAAGGGGAGCAAGGCCCAGCTGATGCAGCTGGGCTGGAGAAACCTACACAGAAATAAGTTCAATCCCAGCCCAGATATCTGAGGAGAAAAGCTCCTTAGAGAAAGCAAAGCGCTGGGATTGTGGCAGGTGGCTATGGTATATATAGCCCAGCGGTAGGGACAGGGACTCTAGCCAAGGGAAGAAGGTAGGAAGAGGCTGCAAGTAGCACAGGGCTGAGATGAAAGCCTTGAATGCAGGTAAGAACACAGGTGGCTGCAGGTGGGGTGTACCACTGCCAGGTGCAACGAGAGAGTCAGGTGTTTCTTCTCACTGTGCCTGACCATCCATAGAGGGGACAAGATGCCCCCCATGGAGGGGCATCAGCCAAATCAAAGAACCTGGAGTCCCAGGAGAGGTGCCAGCAGGTGGGAGCAGCAGTGGGCCTGCAAGTGGAGCGTGCGTGGCAGGGGCGGGTGCTGAGATGTGGTGCCCAGCGTCATGGCCGGTAGAGCAGCATAGAGGTGGCCTCCTTGCTCTGTGTGACTCCTCAACATCCTGCTGGTGAGGAAACTGCAATAACAGTCCAGAGCAGGGGTCGGCAAACATCTTCCATAAAGGGCCGGGTAGTAAATGTTCGGGCTTCGCAGGCCATGTGGTCTCTGTTGCACATTCTTCTTCCTTTTCTTCTCTTCCTTTTTACAACTCTTTGAAAATGTAAAAACCACCCTGGGGCCAAGGGTCATACCAGAACAGGCATAAACCAAGCCCGGGTCTAAAACACAGGCCTGGCATCAGGCACCTTCACCTGGAATTCACCATGGAAACATTTACTCAAGTGTCAGGACTACGCATGTGTCAGCTGCTCTGAGGTAGAGGGGTTGTGGTGGGGGCCCAGCTCCATCCTTCCCTTCCTTTCCCTGCTCTTCCACTTGGGGGACAGCCTCTCAGGAGCTGGTGCTTTCGTGTTGGGTGACAATGAGCAGTGCAGTGGCTCTGGAGGGCTCTGCCTGTGGGTCAGGTCCTTGTGAGAAGCTGCCGTTACAAGTGACTTCCACTGTGTTTTAACTGGAAGACGTGGGCCTCTGTCCCTGGGCTCTGATTAGTTCCCTGACTCTCATGCCAGCCCCACAGCGCAGGGTCTGAGCCCTTTCGACGGCATGTACTTCACAGGGAGCTACTGACCGCAGGAGTGGGATTAGGGTTGCCTAGGAAAAGGCTCCAGGCTTGTAGCAGAGTGTTCTCCCGGGGGGCAAGGGCTGTGCCTCAAGGATCCAAAATGGGATGTGTACCCACCACCACCAATTTAAATTTTTCAATTTAAAAAGTAAATATTTTAAATTTCTATTTTTAAATTATTTTTTAATTTCTAGAGATCGCTTATAACTGAGCTTTGGCTTTCTTTTTCAAAAAGAAATGGAATGTTCTGTTGGGAGAAATAAATGGGGACCTCCCTGTGCACCACATGCTCAGACTTCTGGGGGCTCCTAAACACCCGCACTGTCCAGGTGGCCCTGCTCTGGGTGTGGGGTCCTCACATCTTGGCATCTGCATTTGGTTGCAAAAGAACCACATTTCTGAGTCTTAAAAAATTCCAAAAGTTGGTTTAGTGAGCACTACACCAAGAATAAGTACCATTAAGAACAAAGTGATTCCAACTAAAAGACAACCTAAAGTTTCAGGACCCGTGATGGGCTGAGGACTTCCAGAGGAGGCTTCCAAGTTGCTGGGTGGTTCCGCCCTGCCTGTGTCAATGTGCACCCTCCCAGGGCAAAGTCCGGGGAACGAGATGATGCTCCAGTGGGAAGCCTGTGGCAGAGAGACACGGGCACGGTGCCAACGCCCACCTGCACGATTTCGGATGCTGAGTGGTCGCTGCACTTTTTCCTTTTCCTTACTAAGCATCGGTCTCCGCTGACTGTGGGGGGCCTGCTCCAATCCCCATGGTTGTGTTGCAGATAAACCTGAGGAGATAGTCCCAGCCTCCAAGCCCTCTCGAGCTGCCGAGAACATGGCCGTGGAGTCAAGGGTGGCGACCATCAAGCAGCGGCCCACGAGCCGGTGCTTCCCGGCTGTCTCGGACATGAACGTGAGTGGCCATACCCCGCAGGGACTCTGGGGGTGGGGGAGCTGGGAAGTGGGAGGAGTAAGCAGGAACAGAGATGGCTGTCTCAGCAGCTGAGGTTCACACTCCCTGTGCCATCCAGACAGAGCCAAATCTAAGTGGCCACAGCACACGCACCCTGGTCCTGGTCCTGCAAGCGCAGACTTGCAGTGGAGGGCACAGCCCACGCTAGCATCCAAGCCTGGCCACTCCTCTACCCACCACCTTGGCCTCTGCTAAGTCGCTCTGTGCCCTGAGTCTCAAGGGCACCCAGACTACATGCCCAGCTGAGGATCTTTGAGCACTTGGCTGTGCTCTTCAGACAGAAGGGACCTTGGCTCCCCGTCCACCACAGCACAAAAGCATTCCCGTGTGGAAGGAGTGTAGTGGCCCTTACAGGCAGAGGCCTTCACACAAACACTGGGCCACATGGTCAGAGATCTGGGCGACAGTTGTACTCAGAACTGTAACTGCCAAGAAGGAAGTGCTTGGGCTTCAGAGCTTGCTGGGCGCACCAAGTGCCCAGCTCAGAGCAGGCGGCCCCTTCCCTCTAAGGACAAGGGCTTATCTCTGTTTTCCAGATGCAGCTGTCTGTGCCTGGTGCCGGATTCCAGCACTACCTGTTACTATTACTTACTCTTCTCTTTGAATCAATTTCAAATGGGTGCATTTTGTTTAATCTAGCCTTTTCTTAAAAAATAACACCCATAAATATCATAAATTTGATGTCAATTCCATGTAATATACATTAAAACAAACACATCTGTTAATGATTAAAATTAAATGCTCACCCTCACACCTCCTCCCCTCCCCTCTGCAGCTCTTCAAAGCACACCCCATACTCAGAGCTGCAGTCAGCCCTCCCCTCTGGGCCCTGCCCCCACCCCAGCTCAGATGCTCCCTTGCCCTGACTAACCTCATGGGACAACAGCCCTTGACCCCTCACAGGACCAGAGCCCTTTCCCTCCTGCAGTCTCAGGGCTGCAGAGCCCAGGTGAGAGTACACCTCCAGTTGGAGTCAAAAGCGTGCATATGAACGTTTCCAGTGATCTACATCTGACGTTTTTCCAGAGTCACACTGACAACCTCAGTTTTGCGGACAAAGCCTGCCCCAAAGCTGCAGCCTGGGGCAGGGATGGAATTGGGCAGACATTGCACAAGGAATCTGTTTCCAAGATGGTGAAGGGAAGCTCTAGGCTCCTCCTAGAGCAGGCCAAGGAGGAAGAAAGCTGGGACAGCCCACTGCTGCAGACTCAGAGCTGTGTTCTGGAGCAATCTCAAAGCTCGCCCACGCTAACCGGCACATAGGGCTCATCCAGGCAGCACCCGGTAGCCGGTGCACCTTCACACATGCTGTGGGGCTGGCGCTATTAGCCCATTTTATAGGAGGAAAACAGAGGCTCCCGTTTTAAGGCCTTGACTAGGTCACACAGCACGTGGGGAGCTGGGGTGTGGACCTGGGTCTGACACCCCCCACCCCTGTGCACTGCTCTGTGCCCTTCCCACAGGACATCCATTCTGGCCCCATTCTCTCAGACTTGTCTGCGCAGCTAGTCTGGTGAGCGGTGTCACTGCAGAGCCCGGCTCCGCGGAGCAGGGTGTGCTGTCATCTAAACAGCATGAGAGGTTGATGACAGCAGGAGCCAATAGGAAAGACAGAGAGGAGCTGCAGTGACAGACTCAACCTTACTGCCCTCTGGGCTTTGTCACCACGGGTGGGGGTGGCCTGGGCAGAGTCTCACCCTGGGCTCTGGTTTGCAGTCCGTGTACGAGCGCCAAGGCATTGCTGTGATGACGCCCACCGTTCCTGGGAGCCCAAAAGGCCCGTTTCTGGGCATTCCTCGAGGTACGATGCGAAGGCAGAAATCGATAGGTAAGAAACGTGACCCGCACCTGCAGAAGTTGCCCCTTGGCTTTCCAATGCAGCCTCAGAGCCCCTAGGGAGCCTGGCCCACTGGGCCCGCCACAGCTGCCCCAGCACACCCACCCCCCCCGCAGCAAGTCCCTGCCAGCCCACCCATCAGAGGGCAGGAACCTGGGTTCACCCACCAGGCAGCCATTTGAACATCGTGTGGTGTGAAACCTCCCTACCCCCATGGATACAAACTCCAGGGTGGTTTCTCTATCCTAAAGCCAAGTCACTTGTGAGAATACCCTTGGGTGAAGGGGCCACATGCCAAGAAGGAAGGCGGGGGGTGCATGGGGTGATCTAGGCCAGCCCCAGCCCACCCTGCATGGCTCAGAGTGGGCAGGGCCAGTGGACTCCCACCTCCCCCGGCCCCTGCCACGTTCTGGAGGATGAGCTTAACGGACACACTTCTAAGGGTGGTTGGGTCAGGTTCTTGAACTGCAATGAAGTAATGTACTGTGTGTTGTAGCAAACTGCTTACCTTTCTTGTTAATGTCACAGTTATTTCTACTGACTCTGTTACAGGCAAAGGTAAACTTGACCTTTTAAGACTGTCCCTTTGTGAGATAATCCGGCACTGTTTTTCCCATGTAAATTTTCATGGAAGCAAAGGCCCCAGCGGACGCCGATGGGCCCTGCCCTGTAAAGAGCCGTGCGGCAGCCCTGGGGACCCCGGCTCGGACTGGACCTGCCCCAGGGTCGCTGCTCTGGGTGTTCTGGAAACGCTTCCTGGCTGCCGTTTGGAGGCATAGCTTGCGTGTTACTAGTTTGAGTGAATGACAGTAGGCAGTTACTAAACAAGTGACAGTGCAGGTGGTGTCTGCTGTGTGTAAAACGCACCCAGCGCCAGCGAGCTCAGGGCCCCGGCAGAGCTGCGTATGCGCCATGTTGAATCCCTGGCTCTTTTACTGGTTAATAACAGTCGATTTCCTCCTGTCAGACAGCAGAATCTTTCTATCAGGTCAGTGAATCCTTACAGTTTGGAATCTGTAATTTGAATGTAACCTGATTTACTTTATAAGGTGTATTCTCAAATTATTACTCCTTGGGAATGGAACTGTCAGGCAACCAACATGTAGTGAATGGCCAATGCAGAATGCCTTTAGCAACCATCTTTGCAATGCCAAAAGATCTTCCCACAAGGAGTATGTCAAATTTGGAATACCCTTATCAAATTGAAGTTTTCATTGGAATAAATTATTGTAGTTTGTCCTAGGAATTTTTTTTTTATTTCAAGTAATTTATTTTGAAAAACCTGCATGCCCCTGACGTGAGATCCTGGTACTATCTGTCTGTCGGTGTGTCTGTGCGTGTTTTGCCCCTTCCCCTGGAGTGCCTTCTGTTAATGTTTCTGTGTCTTGGACTACTGAGCGGTCTGTAAAGTCACACCCAGGCGACACACCCAGGCAACCCTCAGGCCACAACCTCAGCACATCCTCACATGCTCAACACCCACAGGCTTTCATTAGGGCAATTCACGGAACCGACTTTGTGCACCAAGTCAGCTGAACCTGGACCCTGGTCAGTCATGGTCGTGGCAGCCTAATGCTCCCTCAGCCCCTGCTCCAGAGGGTCTTAGATGGGACCAGTTCTGGAGCTTCCATGATAATCCAAAGGGGGCTCACTGAGGCCCCTCAGCTGAGGGTTTGCTTGGGATCCTGCTCCTCGCTTGGGCTGGAGTCTTTGATTACAGAGGAGATGTGGGCTCCCTCCCCTCAGGGGCATGTCCCAGAGCCAGTGCAACCCTCTGAGCTGCCACGCATAGCCATCCTTCCCAGGACCCAAGGAGCTCCGACACACACAGAACACTCAGTGTAGCCCAGAGAAGTCAGGTAACAAAAGAGGTTCATGTCACCCTAGAAGATACCCTCAAGTGACATACAGGGCCACCAGTAGGCAGAAGGCTCTGCGGATGGGTAGCAGGCCTCCCTGCAAGTCTGAGCAGGAGCAGAGTCCTTGGCACTGCCACTATTTGTGCCACAGGAGCAGATGCAACAGCACCTGCAGCCCTTTGCCCTCATTTCAGATGGGCAGGTGACAGCCTCAGCTCCCCCAGCCCTAAACCCCCACCACAGAGGCAGCTCCCACTCACTCTCGTGCACACAGGCCTGGGAGAGCACCGCAGAGGCAGCTCCCACTCACTGCACCCTCGTGCACACAGGCCTGGGAGAGCACCGCAGAGGCAGCTCCCACTCACTGCACCCTCGTGCACACAGGCCTGGGAGAGCACCGCAGCTGCAGCTCCCACTCACTGCACCCTCGTGCACACAGGCCTGGGAGAGCACCGCAGAGGCAGCTCCCACTCACTGCACCCTCGTGCACACAGGCCTGGGAGAGCACCGCAGAGGCAGCGCACACTCACTGCACCCTCGTGCACACAGGCCTGGGAGAGCACCGCAGAGGCAGCGCACACTCACTGCATCCTAGTGCCTTTTCATTTCATTTCTTTCTTTTTTTCTGGCTCAGAATGGGCCACATAACTAACCACTTGGCATCGTGGCTTGTGCTGTGTCTCATGAACAAGTGCACATCATCTCTGTGTGTGAGTCTGTGGAGCTGTAGTGTATGGCTCAATCCTAGGAACTTAGTGGGGTTTTTCTATTGTTGTGATTTAAAACTGTTTTCTACTTGTAGGAATAACAGAGGAAGAGCGACAGTTTCTGGCTCCTCCAATGCTGAAGTTCACTAGAAGTCTGTCCATGCCAGACACCTCTGAGGACATCCCCCCGCCGCCGCAGTCCGTGCCCCCGTCTCCGCCACCTCCCTCCCCCACTGCTTACAACTGCCCTAAGTCCCCAACTCCAAGAGTCTATGGGACCATTAAGCCCGCGTTCAATCAGAATTCTGCCGCCAAGGTGTCCCCAGCCACGAGGTCTGACACGGTGGCCACCATGATGCGGGAAAAGGGAATGTACTACAGGAGAGAATTAGACCGCTACTCCCTAGACTCCGATGACCTCTACAGTCGGAACGCCGCCCCCCAGGCCACCTTTCGCAATAAGAGAGGCCAGATGCCGGAAAACCCATACTCGGAGGTGGGGAAGATCGCGAGCAAAGCCGTCTATGTCCCCGCCAAGCCGGCCCGGCGGAAGGGGATGCTGGTGAAACAGTCCAACGTCGAGGACAGCCCGGAGAAGACGTGCTCCATCCCCATCCCCACCATCATCGTGAAGGAGCCGTCCACCAGCAGCAGCGGCAAAAGCAGCCAGGGCAGCAGCATGGAGATCGACCCCCAGGCCTCAGAGCAGCCAGGCCAGCTGCGGCCCGACGACAGCCTGACCGTCAGCAGTCCCTTCGCAGCTGCCATCGCCGGGGCCGTGCGCGACCGAGAGAAGCGGCTGGAAGCCAGGAGGAACTCCCCGGCCTTCCTCTCCACAGACCTGGGGGATGAGGACGTGGGCCTGGGGCCGCCTGCCCCCAGGACTCGGCCCTCCAAGTTCCCCGAGGAGGGCGGGTTTGGCGACGAGGATGGCGCCGAGCAGCTGCCGTCCCCAGTGCCAGGGGCAGCGCCCAGGGAGGCCGAGAACCATTTCGTGGGTGGTGGCGAGGCCAGTGCTCAGGGTGAGGCCGGGAGGCCACTGAATTCCACATCCAAAGCCACAGGGCCTGAGAGCAGCTCGGTGGCGCCCTCCAAGAGCAGCGGCGCAGCCGGCCCCGAGAATTACGTGCATCCGCTCACAGGGAGGCTGCTCGGCCCTAGCTCCCCGCTGGCCCTGGCCCTCTCCGCAAGGGACCGAGCCTTGAAGGAATCCCAGCAGGGACCCAGAGGGGAGACCCCCAGGGCTGACCTCAACAAACCTCTTTACGTCGACACCAAAATGAGGCCCAGCACAGAAACCGGCTTCCCTCCGGTCACCAGGCAGAATACCCGGGGGCCCCTGCGGCGTCAGGAGACGGAGAACAAGTACGAGACTGACCTGGGCAGGGACCGGAGAGGCGACGACAAGAAGAACATGCTCATCGACATCGTGGACACGTCCCAGCAGAAGTCGGCCGGGCTGCTGATGGTCCACACCGTGGACGCCGCCAAGTTGCACGACTCCCTGGAGGAAGAGGACGAGAAAGCAGACGTGGACACGAAGCCGGACAACTCGCTGTCTGAGGTGCCAGAAGGTGTTTCCGAAACCGAAGGTGCTTTACAGATCTCCGCTGCCCCCGAGCCCGCCGCCGCGCCCGGCAGAACCATTGTGGCGGCTGGCTCCATGGAAGAGGCGGTGATTTTGCCATTCCGCATCCCTCCTCCCCCTCTGGCATCCGTGGACTTGGATGAGGATTTTATTTTTACAGAGCCATTGCCTCCTCCCCTGGAATTTGCAAATAGTTTTGATATCCCCGACGACCGCGCTGCTTCTGTCCCCGCTCTCACGGACTTGGTCAAGCAGAAAAAAAACGACACTCCTCAGTCCCCTTCATTGAACTCCAGCCAACCGACCAACTCTGCAGACAGCAAGAAGCCAGCCGGTCTTTCAAACTGTCTGCCTGCCTCATTCCTGCCACCCCCTGAGAGCTTTGATGCTGTCACCGACTCTGGGATCGAGGAGGTGGACAGCCGGAGTAGCAGCGACCACCATCTCGAGACGACCAGCACTATCTCCACAGTGTCCAGCATCTCCACCCTGTCTTCTGAAGGTGGGGAAAACGTGGACACCTGCACAGTCTATGCAGATGGGCAAGCATTTATGGTTGACAAACCCCCAGTACCTCCTAAGCCAAAAATGAAGCCCATAATTCACAAAAGCAATGCACTTTACCAAGACGCGCTCGTGGAAGAGGATGTAGATAGCTTTGTTATCCCCCCACCCGCCCCCCCACCCCCACCGGGCAGTACCCAGCCCGGGATGGCCAAGGTTATCCAGCCAAGGACCTCTAAGTTGTGGGGCGACATCACAGAGGTCAAAAGCCCAATTCTCTCAGGCCCAAAAGCAAATGTTATTAGTGAATTGAACTCAATCCTGCAGCAAATGAACCGAGAGAAATCGGCAAAGCCGGGGGAAGGTCTGGATTCACCGACGGGAGCCAAGTCCACCAGCCTCGCTCCAAGGTAAGTCCCTTGGTCGGCTCAGGCACACGGTGCTGTGCGCACACGCTGTCCAGGGCTGACCGGGAAGGCCCTCGGGGAACAGCCCCCGTGGACGCGAAGAGGGATCCGTAAAGCCTCTTTGTTGGCCACATCTGTTACCCAGTAACTGCGCTGCGTTTGCTCATGTTCCCGGACTCTGGGACAGCAGAGTGATGACCACAGGCATCCTGACAGGACGTGGTGCTCCCTCGTACAGACGTGTAAATGAGGTCGCACAAAGCCACCTCCACTTTGGCTTCCAAAGAGAAGCTCTGCCTGTCCTCTGTGCCCTCCACATCTTTGCCTCAGGACCACCTAAAAGGCCATTTAGAGCCGCACCAAGGCCCAACCAAGCTTGGTTGCAGGAGCCACCACACCACCTGGGGGGGGGGGCAGGTGGGCGTCTGCACATGTGGGTTCTTCCCTCTCCCTTCTCGGGCAGGCTTGAGGGCTAGGGAGGTGCTGGGCCTGGGCTTTACTGGTGAATTCAGGGTAAAATGCGTTCCTCCCTGCCAGCCCCTCCCATTCCAGGGGCAGACACTGGGGAGGAAAAGCCTGGGAAAACCACTCGGGACTGGTTGTCCCGAGTCGCCACTCAGAGCATCGTGCGGGTTTGAGTTGTTTCCATGGGAACTGGAGGGGGAATAAAGGAGGAGTCATTTCTAAGCCCAACCTGGAGGCCCTGTCTGAGGCTGTCTGAAATGGGCCCCTCACTTTCTGCAGCTTCTGGGGAATCCCCACTGGAGCCGCATCTGCTCCCGAGATCGCCGGAGACGTGCGCCACTTTGCTGTTCCCCAGACAGCAGTGTTCCCCGGTCTTCCCCTCCGATGTTTGATCTCGGGTTTCATCATGTTGACTAATGAAGTCTTTCTTCATACTCCTGCTGGGCAGGCATTTAAGTCAAACAACTCAGTCCATTAATCAGTGATATCACACTACAGTTGGGTCTTGAGATGCAGGCTGAGAGCCACAATTTTCCCAGCTATCTTCAGTGTGGATGTAAATAAACTACTCGGATGGCTCCCATTACTCCCACAGGAGTATTGACGGGCAGCCTTGTTAGAGAAGATGTTGATGCCGCTATCTTTGAATGAGGCACCCGCCGCCAGCTGTGACATTCACATAGTACCTCTAGTTGAAGAGAAATTCTTCAAAAATTCCCCGTTTCTGGTAGACATGTACATACATAGCTACAAATATTAATGTTATATATTCAAAAGTCTCAAGGAAATCTTAAAAACCAACTAGTTTTGCCCTTTCCCATTACATAATGATATGGTTCTTTAGTCATTACCTTATGTGAAAATAACAATTAAGAGGACTTATCTCAGTGTTTCACATTTTACGACTTTCACATGGGTGAATAATCCCTATGGTGACTGGGGAGCTGGGAGGTGAGTAGTAATTAGACCCATTTTTAAGTGAGGCTAAGTGGCCTGTCCACATGCATGGCCAGTAGGAGATGGAGCCAGGACTCAGGCTAAGGTTTTCTGACTCCTGCTTCCCCGTGTTAGCAATGTCTACAGTAAGGATGGAGGTGGAAGGGCATGATTCTGAGGCTGGAGGAAGGAATTCAGTGTGCAGGCCAGTGGGGCAACCTGTACCAAGCCGTGACCCCCTAAGCACTCCCACCTGGTGAGCACAGGAACCTCTTCCATGGGCCTGTCTCTCAACGCAGCTTGAGAGCTCACCCCCTCTGATCACTTTTGGGCTGGACGAGCTCCTGGGGTGCTCGCAGAGTAGGATTCCAACTTGCACATGTCTCTAGGGCTTCCCTGCATTTCTCTAGGTGACACTGTGTAGGAAGGGGTTCAGAACAGACCTCATGGGGCAGAAGCCTGTTGGATTTCTTAAGGAGAATAGCTGCATGACCACCTCCAACTAGACTGGTGCTTGGTTGCCAGGGACAGCCACTTCCCAGCCATCCTATTATTTACAATGCAGCTCACTTACAATGAGATCATTAGCTGACACCTGCTAAACACTCACCAAATGCCAGGCATCATGTCCCATGGGCACCATGGAGATAGGGTCTGTGCCGATTCCCACCATGCACACAAGGAAACAGAAGGGCAGAGTGATGAAGCCCCTGGGCCAAGGGTGCTTAGTTGTAAGGCACAGAACTATCCGTGCAACTGGAATGGCTTGGGGTCAACTCCTGACCTCTGGCAGGAGGCAGGGATCACCTGGGAGAAAAGGGCCGACTAGCTAACTGAACGTCTGCAAGGCTGATATTGCCGAGGGCAAGATAGCTCTCAGGCCGTCTAACTCCCCTTGAGCTGGGCTGAGCGTCGTGGCTCTTTGGTAACCCTGGGGCTAATGACAGGCAGGCAGGCTTAGTCACTAGGGGTCACCCACACTGCCAAGCTCCCAGAGGCCGTGTATGTTCCTCTCTGCTACTGGCTGAGGGTTATACTCAGAGTTGGAGCAGGCACAGGATGGCCCTATGGACGGGGCCAGAGGATGAAAATGGAGGTCATTCACTCTGGACACTGAAATAGGCACTCTAATCCTTGCTTTTTGGATCTTATGACCTCACCATGTTGAGCACCTAAGGCAAGACCATAGTGGATGTGATGCTGACAAGGACAAGTTGGAGTGACAGCACAACCACCAGTGAGTCCAGGACAGTTACCAAAGGTGTGACGAAGCACTCCCCCAGCCCAGAGTGTTAGTCTTTCTCATGAACAAGCAGCACTCAACGCCCTTTTCCCCCAACACAGATGCATCCCCGGCACGTCTCATTTGCTGGGGCGTTGCCTTCATTGTTAGGCCTGGTATCTGCCCATTTTGGATTAGACAGAACCTGGTGTGCTCCCACCTGGGGCTCACCACCCCTTCAAATACATCTAAAAATTAAGAGCTGTGAATGGCCATGGGCAAAATGAGGCACGAAATTAGATGAAGGGAATTCCTACTGAGGAAAAAGAAATGAGTTTTTCCAGGGAAAATTGAAAGCCAGCCATGCTTTTTGAAATGACAAACAGTGATGCAAAAAAACCATTTCCACAGGAACAAGTTTTGATTGCCCAAGAAAGGGACTATTTTCAGAGTTGTTCCGTAGCTACTCATTCACTAAGTGGGCAAAAACCTCAGCTGAACTTGACCCTTTTAAAGTTACTTTCACCCTTGGATTCTTTCTCAACAACTCTGAGGGGAGATTGTTTTCTTTTTACTTCTTGCTAGAACACAGGATCAAGGGAAGAAGAAGAAGAAAATTAAATGACTAGATCCTTGCTTTCTTGGGCACATTTGATTTAACTTGAGCAACGAATGTGTTTCTGCTGCTAAAAGCTCTTCCCTGAAATCAGGGATGAGGTGGAGTTTGGAGATGTCTTGATTACAAATATGTTGTTGAAAGGAGTCCAATCAAGTAGTTTTCTTCAGTACGTAATGCTCGAGGCATCTCTTAGGCCTAGTCTAAAAACACCCTGCCAAGAATGGAGTCAGCGGTTCTGGGAAAAGCATCCCCATGGCCACCCAGCCTGATCATCCGTCCCAGGAGGTAATCTCATCTTGAAGAGAATCGCAAACCAGATCAGTGCAGGAAGCTGTGGTTTGGAAAAAGTGTGAGTCTCCCTGAAGAGTCAGTGGACTCTCCCTCTGTAGCCGCTAGCCTGTGGGCTTCCCTGCCCACCCCCTGCAGTGCCGCTGGCTGGGGCTCCCAGCACAGGACACTGGTGCTCTGCTGCCCCTGTCCTCCCCCCAGAAGCTCAGAGTCAAGAGGGTGAACCTATAGTACCAGCAACAGCCTAGAGCTCTCACACTAGGATGGGCGTGTGGAAATATTAACCCCAACTATAGAATCCTTCACTTGAACTATGCTTTTTACTTTTCAAAGACCTTCAGTAATCTATTGATGCACTTGATTTTCACAACCCTTGAGGTGTTGGGCATTGACTGGTGTTCTCGCCGTTTTGTAGACCAAGGAGCAGAGCACTTGTTTTGGTTAAAGTCACGGAGCCAGGTGCAGACCTGGGAGACCACTGCACACTCAGTCCTCAGGCTTGGATCCACAGCCCAGCCCCGTGGTACCCTAGTTCGCTGAACTGCTGCTTTCTGGGGTGGAGAGTAAGAAGAATACACCAACAAGGATGCCTGGGCCCTCCAAAGTGAGGCAGCAGACTCTGTCATTAATCATTCATTCAACAAATAGTTATTGATTGCCTCTTATGTGCCAGGCACCATGCTGAGCCCAGAATTTATCACTGAACAAGGAAAACATTCCAGGTCTCTCTTCCCTTGGGGAGCTCAAATTCTTGAGGGGAATAAAAGGACAATAAATAATGAACAAGATAAACCCCAATGTCACAAATGCTGCCAATGAGCTAAGAGGTGCTAACAGGTTAGAGGGACCATGTGCAGAAAGGAGCTAACACTCTTTAAGGAAGTGACATTTGAATGACCTGAAATACAAAAAGGAGCTAGCTATGCAGAAAACCAGGCACGGGCAGCTCAGACACAGGCCTGCACTCTACAGACAAGCAGGTGCATTCCAGGGATAAGCGCCTCAAGAACCCCAAAACTCACAGCATAGTTCGCCTGGCTTTGACCCAAAACGAACTAGCTACAACCCGGGAGACCTAAGCATCATTTCCCCCAGCTTAATAGAGACATAATTGACAAATACCAGACATTGATTTTACAGCAAAGTACCCTGTTGTTCTCTGCCAACACATCATGGAAAAGGTCAGCTTCACTTTCACCCAGTGTGTGTGTGTGTGGGGGGGGGGTGCGGCAGGGCAGTGAGTGCATGCTATGGGGGTCCCCTGTGGCTTCTATCAGAGGGCAGGGCATATGTTGGCTCCCTCAGGGTCCCCTCTAGATCACCAGCCTTTCCAGTGGGTCCAGAAGGGACCTTCCAAGGCATGGCTAGGCTTGGGGGAGGATGTTCCTCCCTGGAACTCCAGGTGCCAGGGGGTTCAGGCTGCCTGGGGGCTGGGCCGGCTCCCACAGCAGTCACTCTCAAGCCCCGGCTTCC